TTAGGGGTTAAAAAAGTAGATTTGGTGCGTCTTAGGGTGTTTAGCCTCAAAAGGTCCACAGCAGGAGCTTCTGCGGTACCAAAAAATATGACAGGAGTTGATGTGTTATGTTAGAATTGGGACCTCTTTGGGGAGAAAAAATTTCACGCCACGCCTACAATACAGGCTCATGGTACCTCGTGGAGGTTGTTTTCAAAATTTCCAACGAGCACCCTCTTTATGTGGGAATCCCCCCGGTGTTGACGCCCTTGACCCTCACTTGCCAGGTCCGGTGTCTGTGTTATACACGTTGTTCCGGTAGTTTGAGGTGACGCCTTGCACTGGATCGCGTGGTGATCGTGATTTTGTTCACACCCCAACTGGATAGTGTTTCATTCACTGAATAGAAATATCCAACCTTTGAACTCGTTCTGGGCCAAGGCCATCGAATTAGAACTCACGATATATGAGCTATTGTAACAACGCACGTATGTTTCCAAGGAAACTGCAAGCTACAGACTGAAAAGCAATGTGTTCCCAATGAATTTTCGGGTCATAAGAACCCGAGAACAGGGGACCGTAAGCTTACCTCAAATGGGGTGGCTTTTGCTTGCAGGAAAAGATAACGTCAGTTCGGGGGGAGGGCGGGAAGAGAGTGGGAAAGCAAACCAAAAGGCTAAATTTCTTTGACGGAAACGATGCATAGTTTGTTAATCGTTTCCGTCTTGTTTCTTTCTGCAGCTCAGCCGATATATCTTTGTCCAGTTGACCTTCACAAACTACAGCATCTTTGTGGCTTTAACGTTGTTGAGAGATACAAAAAGGTAAATAACTTGTATTTATACTTACGTACGTTACATATCGGACACTATTAAGTGTTTACCAACTCCGCACTTTACTGGCAGTGCAAGCTGATGTAGCAACCAGAAGTCGCACTAGCTTTTCATTGGGCAAAGAGAGAAAGAGAGAAAGGTCGCTGGTCGGTTGTGGTCGATCTACGCTACTTCGAGAAAAGAGCAATGCTCTATGATCATTACTACAGTGAAAAATTATTTGGTTTTTTTTAGATCCCTTTCGAGCCTGAAATTTTCCAGGTTTTATTTTCGCAACGCTTAACTTCCGCACATAATTGCGTTAATCTCCCCCTTGTCTCTTTAAATTTTTCTCCTGTAGTTCAAATTTATGATTTGTCATATATCCGCTTGTCTTACGGGCATGTAGTTCCCTTTACCAACTGTGCTTTATCTGCTGGTAACTGATGGGGGATTTTATGTAATTCCGTTCACCTGACTGAAGTTCATTCACGAGGTTGCTGTTTGTTTCTTTTTTCTCTTTCTCTCTCTCTCTCCCTTCAAGCTGTCGGAGTTTTCCAGGACACATGGAATGACAGAGGAGGCGCGATGGTTTGAAGCGAGAATACAGTTCATATCTGAATCTGATGACTGCAGATAATCAGATTCGAGCAAATCAACCTATCTCATAGAAGACTGCAAAACAGTCTCAATTTGTCTCGTTTTCATGCTCGTTCCCAGTATTTTTCGAACTACCGCGTTTTAACAACGAGCCTACTCTCCCAACAACGAAGTCGCGCCAAAACGCGAACTGTTGTGCAGTCCAATCTCTTATTCTCTAAAAGATGAGAAGAAAAGTTGCTTTTTCATTTCGCTAAGACATGGGAAGCAAATTTCAAAACTCATTTCCTTCATGAGCTCATGATTAGTTCGGTATCGTTGTCTTATATTTAAATCAAGAGCAAGGTATCATTTAGAAGAATTAAGAGAATTAAGCGAGAAAAGATGCATGTGAAAACCCATTTATGTTTAAGACCCGTTTAGTTGAAAAATAAAATACTGAATTTATCGTGGACACTAAGACGCCCTCCACATAGGTACTGTTTTCACACCAAAGCCGTAATGTTTTAATAAATTGCAATGCAAATAAAAGATATCCAACCATTTGACCGCTGTGGTATTATTACTACCCAATTTCATTCCCAGGAGCAGCAATCCTTTTGGTCAACACCAAGAATTTGGAAAGATACGTTGTGTTTCTTCTCTTTCACTCGCGGGGGAGAGCGAAGTTCACACCTAAGGGCCTGGGACTGGGCGTTATAAAATTTCGGGTACAGCTTTGTTTGTGTGTGGGACCTGATCCATTTAGGTCGTACATTCCATGGCTATCTGATGTATTTTAACCAGTTATAATGGTGGTCGAGTCTTGAATCTGAAGAAAACAACGCCGCTGCAATCTGTTCAGCGCGCAAAGTGTTTCCACATACTGTTTTATGCCGATAAGTTCCACTCATTCTTTTCTTAACTACAAGTGAATTATATCCACGATAGCCAGAAACAGGATGTTTGAGTCAACAACTTTGAACAACTTCAAACCTCTTTTATTTGTGCAATCCCATAAAGAAGAATATTATTATATTTCCTCTGACAACCTCGTTCTAAGGGAATGTGTTTTATTTAGTGTTGTATTTAAACGATATATACCCTGGCGAATTTATTGCAATTAACATCTTGCCCTCAAATTATCCAATCTTAGATACCCTTCATAAGCGGCTAAGAGCGACTGAACACTTTTTTTTAGCAAGCAATCGTATTCGAAAGATTGTAAAGCCCTAAATCTTTGATCTTGACTAAATAGCTGATTCTACACGTTCGGTAACACGGACAACGGCGCTCGGGCAATAACACCGCATCCCAATCGAGCGCCCGCGTTGCCAGTTTTCAGGCTCCCAGCTTCCGCTTCTCCAGTACCTCGACCCAGGTCGTCCTCTTTCTGGTGAATCTGGAACAGAATGAAATTTCTGATGAATCCAAGTCGTATTGCGCGTGGTAGAGAACATATTCCTCCCTCGATCTATCTCCCGTCTATTGCCTATATTTAACAATTATTCCATGAAACCGCGTTGGATATGAAGTGATAAATAACCAANTTTTCCATATAAGGTAAAACTCCGACTAATGGCTCATAGTCGGAGTTTTTGAGCCAATCAGAGAGCTAGAAATGCAATAGTCGGAGCTGAGAATATACTAATAGACATTAGACACTAGAGTCTTTCAGTAGCATCCGCACAGCTGTAACTAGCAGTTAGTCGAATGAAGGGAACTCTCGAAATTCAATTACACCGTAATCAGCTGGTAAAGAGCGACAGCTTATGAAGTATACAATACAGTTTTTCAAGAAAACTACGGTTGAAACCCGCTATTTCGCTGACTCGGGAGAAACGAAAAATAGTTCGAAATAGCAGGGGTTCCAAATAGCCGATAGTAAATGACTGAAAGGTTAATCCAAGGGAAGTGGTTTCAGTTCAAAATAACAGAGAATTCGAAATGCACTCAATATTTTATTACTTATTTTTCTGCCGATTTTAGACTAAAGCTATTTTTGTGAATGTTCTTAGATTATAGGAATGAAAAGTAGAATAAAAAGTCAAACTATCTGTTCTATCATGAGCTTTGATGGCGTCAGAAGTATTTTTTGAGGCAGAATGCAGGCAATAATGCCTGATATGAAACACATAACTTATTGCAGAAATGTTATTTATTTAGATCGAACATACAGCCAGCGCTGATTTTGTTTTTTGGTCGCTTTTGCCGTTTAGGGAAGGAATAATTTTTATACAATTTAGTTAAAAACATATAAGCTTAATTGTATTGTACTTACGCATTTTCAGCACAAAAAATTATATTCTTTCCAACATCTCAGCCTCGGGTTTATTCTTAAAATATCCTTAAAATTTCGCAAATTTTAGCCTCGATATTCTTATAAAAAAGAAGGAGTGTAACCGAGTTCGAATTAGTAGGTCCCAACTGTATCTCGGGACCGCACTAATATCGGTCCCAGGCTACCAGGTATTTCAAGTTCTCCAACTAGATGCTTAATACCATATTACCACAAATGCTCTTCCAATGACAGAATTGGGTCCGCTCAGGTAGACAAGGCCTACGGGGTCTTGAAACACAACATTGACGACTCCATTGCGGTCTGCTCTTACGTTTCCCAAATCTCCAACATGACTGCAAACAAGAAATATCAAATTATCCTTTCAGACAGGGATAGATGAAGTCTTAACGAAGATATGTTGAATCAGGTGTTACTTAACTAAGGTAAAGAAAAACATCAAAAAGTTTGTGATAAAACCAGGATCGAGGGCCATGAGTTTATCAGTTTTATTACTGTCAAGTGTTACCCTCCTTAAATAAAGTCTTACTGACTGACTGACTGACTGACTGACTTTAATTACTTACGTACTTACTCACTAGGATCAAGGGTCACGCAAAGCCTGCGTACTGTAGCGTGACACAGCCACATTGGCCTGTTCCAGGCTCTCTGTCAGTGGGGACGTTGGCGACGATCGGGATCTGGGAGAGAAAACGAGGTCTCCTTTTCTCTCCCAGACCTGGCTCGTCGCTCCCGCGCTTTTTTTATTGTCCCCACTGACCGAGACTGTAGGCCTTGGCGGATTGTGCTCCTAAAAGCGGCATATTATGCTACTAGCAGTGCTCGAAATTTTGCCAAATTATGCCAAAGTTATGCCAGAATTCGCTGGCCATGAGTTTATCAGTTTTATTACTGTCAAGTGTTACCCTCCTTAAATTAAGTCTTACTGACTGACTGACTGATTGACTGACTGACTGATCATGACTGACTGACTGACTGACTGACTGACTGACTGACTTTAATTACTTACGTACTTACTTACTGGAGATAGTGTAGAAAATATTATTAGAAAATACACCATATTTACTAAATTTTATGAATTTATGCTCCAAAAAGTGCTAAAATTTGCTAATTATGCCGTGGCAGTGCTCGTTAAAAAAATTATGCTTTTTTGCTCCAATTATGCCAAAAATTATGCTAGCACAATCCGCGCCAAGGCCTAACCGAGAGCCTGGGACAGGCTGTAGCTACCTGTACATTACCGTCTTTTGAGCGGGCAAAAGGTCCACCGTGAGACCGGTTAAACGGATTGTAATGACCTCCTGTACTCTGGCACCCTTAAAGATAAATAAATTATTTAACGTCAGGTTTGAAAAGCAACCGATCTCACGTCAAGTAACTACGTCAAATCAATGTTTAAGGGAGCTCATGTCCTCCCATTTCAGTTCAAAGCGCAACACAAACAGAAAGGCCCCTGTTCGCCACTTTAGAAACGAAAAGAACTGTGGCGAGTGTCATCTCGCAGTGGCTTGTAGGATTGTTGCCTCGGAAAATGTCGCTTTTCGTCTTTTGTTGTGTGAATATATCCCAGTAACGGTCCCATAAGCCAATGCGAGACGAGACTTGCCCTAGTTTTTTTCTTTTCTAAAGTAGCGAGTATATTGTTGACAGAAATTCCTTGTTAATTCGAGAGTCTATGGAATAAACTGCGCAAACTCACCATCAGAAACGATGTCTCCAAATTCATGGATGTGGAAGCCGTGAATAGTGTCAGGAGGGAGACCCGAAATGTTCACAAAGAAACGAGTATGGCAGCGGGGCTGCAAAGAAAAGACGTCACAATTATTAGGGACGGACCATTATTTTTTTGAGGTGGGGTTGGGGCAATTTTGTGGGACATGAAATTTTTTTCTCACCTTTAGGTTGTGCATGATTTCTTTAATGGGCAATAGCTAGTGCAATTTTTTTAAAGTAAAAGACGGACCTGGATAGTAGAAAACACTTGCTCGATTTGTCCCATGGGTCCCCCTGCACGACGATTTCTATTTGTAACGGCTTTTGCTGTGCACCCCTCCTCCCCCCACCCATCAAAATATAATGATCCTTCCCTTAACAATCGGGAACCCCTCAGCATTCACTGAATGGAGGCGTTGGAGGATTATAAAGTGTGAAACAATGATTGCCATTATCGTACCCCACGGTCCCCACCCTCCAAATCCCATTCCAGGAAAGCTTAGAGCGGAGAATTTTTTTCATGTAAGCACTATAGCGTGTCCTTTTAGCGTCATGATTTACGTGCAGTTTTTGCGAGTTTCGCAGTAGTTTTAAAATGTTGAATGTCGCGTGGACTGGCCAATAAGAATTAAGATAGCCTGATCCAGGCGTTCAGTCAGTCGGGGAGCAGTGGGAATACTGTGACAGAAAAAATGAGTGGGGGTAGAGGGGGGGGGGNCCAAAAAAAAAAAAAAAGCGTTTTCAATATGTAACATGTTCTCAACGCATGGCACAACGTACATTCAATTTGTCAGGCTAAAATTCAGTTGGGACAGTTAATTGTGCTATACTGGGGTTCTGATCTTGTAATCTTGAGGCCCCAAAATTTTAAGCTTTTTAAAAATAAAGCCGCACATAATTGCTTTACCTTTTTCTTAATATGCATTCTTCTATATCCCGGTTGCATCAACACAACCTTCCCGGCGACTGGTGTCTCCGTGTCATCCGGAGGCGCAGAATTAGGGATGATAAAACTTATAGCTGTCACTGTGCGCCTGACAGCTAATTCATCTGATAATAACATCAACAATCATCTCAATCATTATCATTTTTTATGGCTTCCTCCGCGAGCAGGCAAAACGAACCAAATCCTACGCTGTGATTGGCTACTCGACGCGTGGCGGGATGAAGTTATCTATCGGTTGGTGATTACCCATTGTTTCTCGCAAAAAAATCATTTTTTTATGCTATATGAATCCGTTAAAGATCGGTTAAGACGGTTTTATGTGGATGCTTGGTGGCTAAATAATAAGTGACTAAATAGCTGGAACTTTGGATCGAGGGGTCCGGGTTCGAGCTCTGGCTTGGGTCATTGTAATGTGTTTTTGGGCAAGACACTTTACCCTCATCGTGCCTCTCTCCACCTAGGTGTATAAATGGGTACTGGGCAATTTAAACCTGGGGGGGGGGTAACTCAGTGATGGGAGGGGGGAGTAGAAATACTCCTAGTCGTTCAGTGTGCTTCAGAAATCGAGATAAGCTCTAGCTGAATGGGCCCCTTGGCGTGAGGAAAACTTAATCTTTATTAAGATAAAGTCACTCGCTCTTGGAAGTGACGATTTTTGTTAGTTAGGCGTTCCATTTTCAGGAAAATCTATACAAGTTATGACAGGAGGACCGTTTTCAACAATGGACAGCACAGTTCCCGTCCGCGAAAGGAAAATTCTCAGCCCTTTTAGTTCTACCCTGCAGGGGAAGGAATGCCGGGAACTAACAACAATAATCAACCGACGGGATTTAACGGGTATTTGTTACCTGTATTATTATTAATAATAGTAAAGAATCTAAGTAATACGATATATTACTTATTCCGTCTGACTTATTCCTAGTTTCAGAGCAGAAAATGTACAGCGCAGGTTTTGGTGCATCCTAATTAGCCGGGCTTGCGGGCTCAAGTAATAATTCATGAATTTTGGGGGGCATTTCTCTGTTAAGAAAACAAGGCGCCCCCTACCTGCTGAGAGGCTCTTTTGCTATTTATTGGGTTGCTTATATGGATGCAATATGTAAAGAGGGTCTGTGGGGAAAATGTGTCTTCGCACCGAAATGCCTTGTTTATATACTGCTTGGAAATAAAGGGATCGGAAACCTTTTTTAGATTTATATTGTCCCCCAAAAAATTGACTCCCCACGAAAAAAAATACACCAGCTTTCCATTAGTGTCGTTTAAATGTTGCTGCTCACCGGAAAAATTGGGAAAGAATATAAAGTTCGTAACTTTTTTTGTTTACACGATCGACGAAATGCACGACATATTTTCAAACTTGAATTGGAGCCTGGCGCGCGGCAAAACACGCGCATGCTTAGTACTTTTAATTTTTCCGCTCTGAAATTTCCAGTAGTCATTATTAAACCGAGGAAGATGAAGGAACGACTGGGAACGAGTCAGCCTGGATCTCGTTCCCAGATCTCTTGTGTATAAAGATCTAAGAACCTGATTAGAGTCCGGTCTATTCGGGAGATAAAAGAAGAAGAAAAAGATGTGCTAACTGTAAAATACTAGTTACCTTCACAAACTTCAGTGGCAGTGGCTGTTGCTAGCATCATCAATCCAAAGACCAGGAGAAGCATTGTGGTATCAAGCTACAAATATTTTTCAGTTGTTAAAATATGGATCATTTTATAAATATGTAGATATTCATGAAATTCCAGTATTTTTTCTTTCCTAAAAATAGGTTTCTTCGTCGCGCGCAAAAATAATAAAAATGAATAAAAATGAACAACCAAGTGCGGAAGTTGTAACAGATAATTTTCGGTATGCGTGACTTATGATAACTGATAAAGCCATGTAAGGGGTACTGTTTGCTGCGGTTTGACCTTTTTTTNGAAATGCACGCCATATTTTCAAACTTGAATTAGAGCCTGGCGCGGGGCAGAACACGCGCATGCTTAGTACTTTTAATTTTTCCGCTCTGAAATTCCCAGTAGTCATTATTAAGCCGATGAAGATGAAGGGACGACTGGGAACGAGTCAGCCTGGATCTCGTTCCCAGATCTCTTGTGTGCAAAGATCTAAGAATCCGATTAGAGTCCGTCTATTCGGGAGATAAAAGAAGAAGAAAAAGATGTGCTAACTGTAAAATAATAGTTACCTTCACAAACTTCAGTGGCAGTGGCTGTGGCTAGCATCATCAATCCAAAGACAAGGAGAAGCATTGTGGTATCAAGCTACAAATATTTTACAGTTGTTAAAATATGGATCATTTTATAAATATGTAGATATTCATGAAATGCCAGGATTTTTTCTTTCCTAAAAATAGGTTTCTTCGTCGCGCGCAAAAATAATAAAAATGAATAAAAATGAACAACCAAGTGCGGAAGTTGTAACAGATAATTTTCGGTATGCGTGACTTATGATAACTGATAAAGCCATGTAAGGGGTACTGTTTGCTGCGGTTTGACCTTTTTTTATAGATTATTGTAATGCCTTTAGTCCCCCAACCCGTTCTCCCTCGCTGGTCGGTCTTGTTCTTCCATCTGTAACCCCAAACCCGAGGCCGCAAGTCGAGGGCAGTCTTTTCAAGCTCGGACCCCTCGGGCGGCTCAGGGAACCAAT